GCCGATTTTACTATTTATGGAATGACTAGGAAATATCACATGACAAAACAATTTTTATTGCATTTTTGATTGGAAATATTTTCCCAAAATTCGTCGTCGTGGCGCAGTAAGTTGCGGGATTAGGTGTCCTGCACTGTATAAATTAAAAGAGATCAGATCTTTTTTTTGGTTCACGCTATTAGCATAAATTTCAAATATTCATTCACACGATAATGTATTTATTTATTTTAAAGAAAATATCCTTTTTTTATTAATAGCCAGAGATATTTCTTTTTTATAAAATGGCAAAGCAACATAACCATAGAATAACGGAAAACTGTTCTTGGATGATATGGAAACAGCAAAGAATGATCTGTTTTATTATTGGAAATTTATTTACAGATATTGAATATCATTTAAGGCTTGAATATTCAAATATTACAATAATTCTCTTATTTCTCGTAATAGTACGAAAGGCTAATCGGTCTTGCTGAACCCTCCAATGATACAACAATGCATGTTAACCTCCAGATGGGAGGTTACCTTGCTCTGGGATTTATTTATTATTGCATTGTTGTCAAGTCTAGATGACTGTTAAAGTTACTTGCTTGTCCGAAGCCTCTGGAAATGATAAGCGAACCTCCCACATCTGTTGAAAAAATTCAATAGACCCGAACGTGGAGGAATGAGGATTTGCATTTTCTGTTAAAGGAAAATTTTATTAAATCTGATACCTATGGTCTATACATGTTGCTCAAGTCCAAGTTGTTTGGAACCTTGAAACTTTGGGACTTTGGAACTCGGGATTTAGCAATTTTGATTTGGGCAGCATGTATACCCTATGATCAACATCAGATTTATTATTTTACAAAATTTCATTTCTACATGGTCTTAGCATTATTATTACTTCGGTGATGCAATTATTTATTATGAATAATAATGTCAAATGCATTGCATGATTGCTATAGACAGATACGATAGTGAGAACAAAGAATATTCATTTAATGAAAAGATTAAATAGCAGTAAAAAGATAAATCACGTTTATATATTTTTATTTAACCAAGGTTAGAAAAACACGTAATAATTTATAGAAAAAATCTTCCAGAGTGACTTGTAGGAAGAAAATATAATAATCAGACCCAAAGCAATTGTGAATATTCTTTGACCGCCGTATCCATCTAGACTATTTTTATTACTATTATTAACTACAATAATATTGTCACCGATTAAATTTGTGAGAACGTATTTTTGGTTTATGTGGATCAGAATGAAAGGGTAATTAATGAATTAATTTTGTGTTAGTGATAATTTTGTATAAAGAAGATAAAAGTTTGTTTAAATAAAATATTTATTATTTTGTTTGTTTTCCTTAGTCGAAACTAATTAACTTGTTACAAAGCTACTTTTACAGTAGGTCAAATTCGAGTTCCTTATATACATGTTAGTTAATTATGAGCCTGATTGTGTTCGCGTGCCCGCTTGGGTTCATGGGCGCATCGTCACTAATTTCTACTATATATAATGATAATAATGATAGATGAATATACTAATACGGGATGTAACACGGATATAAACGATAAAATAATGAAAATAAATAGAAAATAAAATAGAATATGATAAAGATAAAAAAATAAAATTATGCAAGAAAAAATTAAATTGTCTCGGAATTAAGAGGTTCAGCCAAAATACGTATCTGCTTTAAAGTTTAATTCCGGTAACAATATCATTATTAATATCATCAGTTTTTTTCCCCCCCTCGTCTCACTTCTGGTTTGCTTCTATTGTTTCTTCCTAGGATTTGTTTTTCGTTCGTAAAAGTTTTTATTAAACCCAAAACGAAATTATTTACCTTGTTGGTGAACGTAGTAAGTATAATTACTGTGATAACTCGATTAATTTCATAAAAAAAACAATTTTTTTTTCTTTACTTACTTGCAATGTTTTTTAAACATTAATTTCTAAGAAATTTAAGCCTTTGTTCGCTATATTAATAAAGAAAGACATTTGTCATAGAGAGAAATTAATAGTAAGTTTGTTGTGGTGGAGTTTGACTTGGAGAGTGAAATCTAGTCTTTTTCTCGGAATAATTTATTTTTTAGTTATTAATGGAACAATAATCAAAAATTGTTTTTGACATTCATATATCCGCTCATATGAATGGAGTTCTCATCGATGGATCTATAAGATCTTTGTGTCAAAAGACCCCTCTTTTTAAATGTTGCATTTTTTGCTATGTTGTTTGATGGCATTAACATAAAGTTTTACAACATAATAGCGTATGACCTCAAATATAATTCTCCGGGGTCTCATTTACTAATATTAATCCTAATGTCTTAACGGATTAATCGGAATAAATCATGTATTTATCACGTAAGATCCGATTACATCGCTCACTATTATCTTCATTGCTCCTCATAGCGAACTTTCGATAATGTGTTAAATATAGATAGATACTAATATAAAGAAAAGCTGACAAAATTCAAACATTTCAAGTATTACGAATCCAACCAAAAGACAACTGTCAAAGAATTTGTTACATTGGGTAAACTAAATTAGCAGAACTTTATAAATACGAAAGTTTTTAATGAAAATAATAAATAGTAATATTGATGATGGTGATGTTAGTATAAGAGTATCTCTACAATAGCATTCGCTCGTAAATTCATGATGGTTGCAAATTTCATTCTCTTTGTGATTTCGTATTTTGTGTCAATGCCATTTTATTGGCTATTTTCGTTTTTCTTGGTAAATCTTGCAAGTAATTTGATTTTAATGTTATGATTGCATTATTAATTAATACTTTTTTTTCTTCCTATAAAGCAATATCTAATATACTAAAAAAAAATCAAGATTATTAAAGAGAGAAATAACAACAAATAATAATAATCATTTTATCTAATGGTAGTGATCAGCACAAAAAAATTGCCTTGTACGCACATGGACCCTTTTTATGATTTTTGTTACAATAATCATAATCTTTTAAAATTAATATATATATCATTCTTTTTTTAAATAATGGGTTGTTGTTATAGTTGTTTTGGTAGAGGAATTGACACATCAAAGGTTTGCAACAGTAACAATAATAATGATGTTGATAATATTTTCTACCAGTTGATTGATTCTATATAATTTATGAATTGTTTTAGGCAAACGAACGATCTCATTTATTAGGAGCAAGTGGTGATGGCTCTTCATACTCTGAATCATTGTACATTACTCTTATAAATTTTTTTTTTTGTTATATATAATTACCAATAATCAAATAATCAATAATCAAATAATCAAATAATCAAATGATAATTAATTAATCAATTAATTAAATTATTAGAAATGCAAGAATGTCATATTCACGTTATGATGCAGCTAGAGAACAAGAATCATTACTAAAAATTGTTCAGAAAACATCAGAGTAAAATTTCAATTTCATATTACTCATATAATACATACATACATATATACATTAATATTTAATTATTATTATTATTATTATTGAAAGAAACCTTATTGATATATCAAATTCTCATGTTAATGAACGTCTACTACAACAACAACAACAATTATCACAACATCAACAATTGGATACCACTGAACGTGCGAATGAATACAAGTAATAATAACAATTATTATTATTATTATCATTATCATTATCATTATTTTATTTCAATTTTTAATTATTATTCTTTTTTATATCATTCTTATCCTTTAGAGCTTTAATAAGTACAATTAAATTGAATTCAAAAACCTTTCCAAAAATACAAGAAAAAGGTTTAACAATCTCTAAATTAAAGAAAAGACAAACATTATCACATCTGATACATCAGCAGCAGCAACAATTACAAGATCATAAAGAAAATTCACCGAAGGAACAAGTAAATGATGAATCGACTAAATCATGGCAAAACTCTGAATCATCTTCATCATCAGGTTTGATATTATCAGAAGGGAAAATAACCAATGAAGATGAAGAATTGGTAATATATATATTTCTAACATACATAACACACAAAAGTACATGTATGGTTAGGAATAATTTTACTAATTCAAAAAATTTTTTTCTAAATAACAAAAAGTTATCGAAAGCCATGGACGAGATAAATCAAGCGCTTAAACAAATTAAAGTTGAATATGTTGGTGATTTGGTAGTTCCTTTAACATGGGCTAATTCTGCACCTATTAATAGTAATAGTACACAGGGATGATGATTTAAGATAATGTGATATTAAGATTATTAAAAAATTTGCAAAGATTATATATATATATATATTTTTTTTAATTTTTCTGTTATTTATTATTTAAAACAATTTATTTATTAATAAAAAAGGAAAAAAGAAAGGAATTAACAAAAAATTTTTCAATTTTTTACAACTTGAAATACTTCAAAATCTTCCCATATAAAAATTCCAGAAGAATCTAAAATTCGATGTTCGTAAGAGAGGGGAGAATTTTTGACAATTTTATCTTTACAGTCAATGTTAATCCATAAATCAGGACCAGCACCAAAATAAAATCCATTGTTTGGATGCCTTTTATGATTGAATCTTTTATTTTCAAATTCTGGTAAAATTCTACTAACTATAGAATTATTTTCTGGATGACAACTATCTTTGAATGAAAATATAAAACTTTTCTCTTTTGAACTATTATCGTTATCATTGTTACTATCATCAATAATAATGTTACTCTCACTATTATTAGTATTATTATAATTAATGATGGAGAATCTTCTCGATGATCTATCACTATTAGTATTATAGCTACTGATGGAAAATCTTTTCGATGATCTGGATTTGGTTGATGGTAAAGATGAATATGAATGCGAAGTTGATAATCGTCTTCTCATATTTTCAAAACAACTATTTAATGGATTATAACCACCTACAATACAATTCGAATTACAAAGTTTCGCCAGTATAATTATTGGGCCTTTATCATGACATTTTGAATATAAATTTTCCATAGTTAAAGTATCTCTAGTTGCTCTAAATAACAAATTAAATGAATTTAATCCTGATAATGGACGATCATCGTAGCCTAGTGTTGGATCATTTGGCGATTTTATCCAGTTTGATATAATAGTTGCATGTCTTCCAGCTATTATAGTTGATTCGATATCAGTTGAAGGGATTCTTGGCGGTAGATTAATAGAAAAAATTGGCATGTGGCCGGTAATTTGTTGCCTTAGAAAATTACTGACAATATCTTTTGGTAAGATTCGCTTAAATGGCAAAACATATTTCGCGAATTCTTGTGGGCCGATTTGAAAAAATCTTATCCATTTAATGCAATTTTTCAAAGTCTCCCTTAGTTCTTTGAAATCGTCTTTCATCCATTTTGACATGTCGTAATGATGATAATAACATTCATCATTATCGTCGTCATTATACACGTTTAACCTTGGTGTATTTGAGATACCCCAGCTTAATAGATTTAACCATATTTCAATCTCTGGCAAGTCTAAATCCTCCCTTTGAAGTATTGAAATTATGTAATCTTCTGATAGCGAGAATAATTCGTCCGAGTTAATTATTGATATTAGATTTATTTCATCCAAAGTATCTGATGAAGACGAGGACGTCGATGATGGTGTTGACTCTTCCTTGTGATGATGAGGGATTTGAGGTCTTGCTTCCTCTTCTAGATGTCGTTGGTAACGTAAATATAATGATAATTCAGGATCTAAATCTTTTTCACGTCTTTTAATATCATCTTCATCGTCATCAATGTTGGAATAATCGACAGATTGATTTCTGGAATTAAAAGCTGTAGGCGAATCCCACGGAGGGACATTATCTGAATTTAACGATGATGTTGATAAAGTATCAGTAGAATTTGACCAATTTGGAGGGTGATGGAAATTTATCGAAGAATCATTTGAAGGTTGTAGTTCGTTGTTGTCAATATAAAGATTTGAAAATGAACCAACAAAATTGGTATTGTTGTAAACTTTATTATAACTTGAGTCTTGTATTATCGAGGTTGGTTTTTTTTCATCATTATTAGGATTTTTGCTTTGTTGGCTGATGTAATTTGTTATTTTTCCAATAAGATTTGACTCGTCTCCTTTCTTCTTCTTCTGCCTCTTTTTAATATTACTTGGCAGATGAGTTGATGTTAAATAATTAGGTTTATCAACATCAACTTCTTTATCGCGGTTATTATTAAAATTTTGTCTGTGGTTTGATAAAACAGGGTTTATAATTGAATTTGGCATTTTTTTGAAAAAAATATTTTTAAAAAAAATGTGATCAAAGCCTCTTTCTTATTTAATATTTATCGTGCATGAAATTAAATTTATAGAAATTTCTATATTAAATAAAAATTAATAATTTAAAATTAATAATAGAAAATCTTTTATTTTAAAACTTGTAATTAATAGACAGTCCTAGAACAAAACAAGTCTGATCAAAAAAAAATTCATTTAGTCATTTATTATTGTTACACTCCAGAGATTTAATTAATAAATTAATATCATTATTTTTCCATTGGTAAGCGTAAAAAAAAATGATAAACATGCCAAGCAGCTCATTATTTGTTTAACAATAATAATAATAATAATAATAATGAATGCATTAATATTAAATCGCGACATTCTTTTTTCGAGCTTTCGAATTTTATAAAATATTAATGATTAATATGGTTAATATCAAGAGGCATTTTGTCGATTAAAACCAGATTTTGATCTGCGTTTGCTAAAGGGGGTTATTTTTCACAATCAATCGAAATGTCAAAACAACAGATTTTCCCTTCCATTGAATTCGCTTCGTATATCCATATATCAATCTAACTGTTTATTGTTTATACTTGACATTATTGCTAAACAAAGTGCTCAAAAATGTCACTATTTTTTTTACGGGGATTATAATTTTCAACACCTGATCCAATCATTTATTTATATACCATGAGTTAAACAAAGCAAATATTTATCGAAAATCACATTCAGTTTTTTAATTATACAATGATTGTTCAGGACTTTAAAATCACTCAAAACGAACGACCAGACTTGTCTTGGAAGCAATTCCAAAACGCCAATGGCGAGTGATGATGCTGTTGATTTTTTTAAAAAAGTATTTTCATGTCACGTCATTCTTTTAAGTTTCTATTTATCTGTGATGTTTGAGATGACTAAAAATCGACAGACGAATTTTCCTTGAGATAGGTGAAGCAATTGTTTTATTACTGAAAATCATTACCTGAATTATTATAACAGACAAAAAAGGTTAAGAAAACAAAATGTTTGTCTTAGCGTCATCATACGTTTTTCCTTTTTAATAATGAATAATAAAGTTTAAATTAATTAGTATTAAATAGTTATTTATGTATTATTTTCTATATATAAAAATATAATACAAAAAAAATTTGAATTGTTTTTTACATTTCAAGTTAAAAATAATTTACGACATACATAATCAATGTTATTTTCTAGGAAAGATTTTCCCAATTATGACTAATCTTCATTTCCTCCAACAAAACTTCCCATTATAATAATTATGATAATGCTGATGGGTGATTAGTTGGAAGGATTTATCAACTACACAAACTATAAATAAATTGAATTTGGCATTATCAAAAAATCAACAATTTTCAAAAACAATCCAAATATCAACTATTTAAGCCTATACTTGATGAAAATGGTTTTGCCCGCATAACACCCACTTAAAGCACACATCAGAATAATAAGAACATTCGGGTTTGAGGCTTTTCTTTGGTGACCGTAATACATAATATTGAAAAGTTTACATGAATCAGTATCCAAATATAAAAAATGATGATGTCTTTAATAATAGTCATGTGCCACCTTACCTGTACAAAGGTTTTTTTTTATCATATGATTTATAAATTACTTGATTTTATTTTATTTTGATATTGATTATATTTTATTTATAGAATTAAACTTTTTTCGTCAAAATCTCGTATTACCCATATTCCATCATGCATGCTTGTTCATTCAGGTTTAAACTTCATTTGGCTGAGGATATTATCATCACCGTTACACAATATGAGAATGAATGAATTTTAGGTAAAATTAAATGCAATGAATATTCACATCACAACGATGATGATGCTAATACTAAAAAAAAAAATTCAACTATCGGGAAGCTCGAATCATGAAAACTTTATTAATTTACTTTTTATCAAAACTTGAAAGGGCCAAATTCAAATTAAAGACTTTAGGGGGTCCCTGACCAAATTTGGATTTTTTACATCAACTTGTGCCTTATTTACATATTTTTATTTTTATTTTTAAATAGTGACACCACAAAAAAGATTTACAAGTCTTCTGGTGATAAAGTGATACCTACGAAATTTTTATAGAAATAGAATCTTATGTGGAGAAATATCAATTGATCTTGGTAATACTACTTGGCAACCACATTGAAAAAGCAGCAACATATGTATATATTCTACACAATTGTTGAATTGCAGATTCACATGGATTTCATTTTTTATGTCATAGATCAACATTTCAATGATTGTATTAATAATCAACCCATAATGATAATTTGAAAATCGCGGAAATATTTTTTACAGATGCAGTAAAAAATCAGTTTATTAAAATATCATTCGAAGAAAATTTGGGCGTACCATTGATAGTATTTATGCTATTTTACTATATTACTTCAATAATTGAAGATCTTGATAGTTCTGTGGGCGAGTTAAAGTATTCATAATAGGGAGATATTTATTTTTGTTTACTAGAGCTTTTTGACGATAAAAATTTGAATTTCAAATGATGTTTGTGTAGGAGGGAATTGATATTGAAGTATCTTGAGAAATAGAGTCAATCACTCCGACTTGAGGTAAAAGAGATGTTGAAGCCTCGGAAAAAGGCAAAGAGCACTTGCACTAGTAAAAATAGATTGAGATAAAAGAAATAAATTGGGAAAGAATGAAAGAGCGAGCAACGAAAAAAAATTTTTTTAATCACAGGGCGTTGGTCTCCATGAGGATAAATCGGGAATTTTTCACTGCTACTATCACGCGGTGAAAATCATCGGTATCCACGGAGAACCATGGAATAACTTATTATTACTTAAATTGAAAAATAACTAATTTATAATAATCGTTAACAGCCAATTGATATCTTTTTATGAAATTTGGGGTTAAAAATCAGAAAATCTGTACATAAATAATGTCAACTCTTTTTCTTCTAAAGTCATTATCTGCGAGTCACAAAATAACATCTAAAAATGATTGGTTACAATTTATAAAATTATTTAATTATTATATAAATAAATAAGTAAACAAATGCAGCTTTATATTAGTTATTACTATATCATAATTACTATCTTACCGGATGTTTTTTTAAGAATTCATTATCATCCTAATACTATACAACGTTCATGATAAACAACGGGTAGCAACGATCATTGATATGTACAACAAAAAAAAAATTTTTTAGAATTTATTGATAACCTTTTTGGTATTAATATTGGCATATAAGTGATTTAATTATAAGACTTGTTATATATAGATGTCTTGCTTTTACGGATATCTTGATTTAGTGTAATACTATGAATTTTTTGGGAGATTCACTGATTGTGTATTACTATGACTTCTGATTCCTCGCTCAATTAAACATAATTATAAATATCCATGCCAATATCTATCTCTTTGAGAAGAAACCTAACTTCCTCGATACTCTTACCGTCCATATTCCCATCTTCTTTGGTTATAATAATAGCATTACCATAAACGGCAGAACTCGCATAATTGTTCGATGAATGTGATAAGAGTCTTTGATTTTTACTATGACTTGATCTTCCGCGATTTTCTTTTTCAAAATATATTCTTTGACTGTAATTTTCTCAAGAGATAAATTCATAAATATATTTTACAGGGTCTTTCTAAGATTTAGGTATAAAATTCAAATTGATATTTGCATAATTTGTATGTTGTACTCAATAGAGAGCAAGGCAATTCTTTTTTTTTCGAGTCTTATGCTTGCCTATTTACATTGTCTAAAAAAAAAATAGTGAAATCTTTAGCACAACCTTTTCGGAAATGAATAATTTTCTAAAGAATCAAGTAATAAGACGATCCAGAGAAATAATATTTATCGTTTCAACTGCTGCAAATCTCCACGTTTGAGTTTGTATATATGAAAAAAAACTTTTTTCTAATATATAAAAGTGAAATAAATAATTCTTAACGAACAAAAAAAACCGATCACTCAAAGACTAGTGCAATGAATTAATTTGTCGGAAATATTAGTTATCCATACATCATCTAATAAATTATTTATTATTATGAACTCTAGGTTAGTTCATATTTGGTAACTTTTGTCACATCTAAGCACTTCTCCACATTTATGATATTTTGTGTGTCTCGGCAAATCACCGTTTTGATAAAATGCTTTTGGACATCCTGGGTTTCACATTTAAGATCTTTTATCAGTAAATATTTTTGGATATTCACACTTAAAATTCTTTATTCCAAGATGACGTCTTGTGTAATATGGGAAATAACTTTTCCGGCAAACTGCTTTACATCATGAATATTGATATTATTATTATCATCATCATCATCAAATAAATTTTGTCATCATTATCACCACTATCAGACAGAGATACTGTACGCGTGTAATCTGAGTGAAGCTCTGAATACTCAAAATTTACAAAATCATGATTTTTGAATACTACCGAAAATAATTGAGCAATTATAAAAGTAAAACAATAATAAAAATATATCTACTATATAACATATTTGAATTTTAGAACATTTAAATCACAAATGAGAATTCATCCACGTTTTAACAATATTTGTGCTTTTAATAAAACCGGTTTTAAATTCTGAAATATATTTCAGAATGTTTGCTAACAAAATCCAAAAAATCTTTATTTCTATTCGTAATTCGTTTTTGTTTTATCCTTTTATTTGAATTATTCGTTTTATTCATTTTTTATTCGAATTATTTGTGCATTATTATTATTCGTTTTATTCATTTTTATTCGAATTATTCATTTTATTTTTTCTATTCAAGTTATTTATTATTTATTTTATTAAAGTTATTTATTATTATTTATTTTATTTGTCATAGCGAACAAAACAAATTCAAATAGAAATTTAGGTTGGGCGGGGCTCAAGTTAAAACTTGAATTTTCAAGTTCAAGAAAATATTTTTTTTTAGGTAATGTGTATCATTCGTCACCTAAAAAAAAACTATCGAGTCTATTATTGACTCGAAAACTTGAGTTTCAACTTGATCCCAAC